TCCATGTACGGTTGACGGTGGATGTTGTGAAGGCCATGAAAATCTTGAGAGTTTGTAGTGTCGTAGGCGCCTTGTTGGATTCTTTTGGGTTCATAGTTATTGCAATTGTTTCCTCTAGTTTTCTGTTGATTATTTCTAGGCTAGGTTGTTGTTATTGATTTCCCCACATATGAACTGCTTATAATAATGAACGCATTGTCGCTATTGAGACTGTCTTACGTGAACTCTTGTTCTGTTGATTATGCAAGTATAAGGTAACGTCGCTAATTAGGTTAAAGAAAATTAGGGGCGTTACAATTACACTCATATCATTTATATGATTCCAACCAACTCTCATCATTCTCAACACTACTTACGAAGTTAAAAAAAATTGAATGACTCGAAAAATTCAATCAATTCAATCTAGTCTAGTCTAATGTGTACGGTTTGGTTTGGGTTGGATTGTAAATGTATTTAAGTTTTTTCATAGATTTTTCAAATTAATTTTAAAGTATATATTTTTCTTTGAAAATGCATATATTTATTTTATTTTTACTTAATTTCATAAATAATTTTTTTTATTCTCTAACAATTTTTTAATCATTTTGATGGTAATTTATAAAAATATATAATGAAATTGAGTCGTAAACATCTTCCTTTTAATTAAAAAAAATTGAATAAATGATATAAACAACTCAAATTAATCCAAAAAAAAAATAGTTGAATTGTGTTGAGTTCATAATTTAACAAATTTGTTTGAGTTGAAAATTTTAAACCTAAATTGAATTGAACCCAAACCAATCCAATCCACCAATACCCCATCACTATTTAATTAATTTGAATTAAGAAACTTTGTGAAATAGGCCTTTGAAAATGGGCTTTAAAGCCCAGCCCAATGAATTGAAATTTTCTCTTGGGAACTTTGTCAAAATGGGTCCATTTCTAACCTTTTTAACACCATTTTTCTTTTTTTATTTTTTTGGTTCAAGTGAGGACTGGTTCGAAGTTTTGAGTTCTTATCCTTTAGACATTCTCCTGAGACACTTGTGGAGTCTTATGTGTTAGGAATCACGGGTCTCCACAATGATATGATATTGTCCACTTTGAGCATAAGCTCTCATGGCTTTGCTTTAGGCTTTCTCAAAATGTCTCGTACCAATGGAGATGTATTCCTTACTTATTAACCCGTGACCATTCCCTAAATTAGCCAACGTGGGACTCCCTCTTAGCAATCCTCAACATTATGCTAAGCGAACAACTCAATCCTGACCTATGCCTGAGGCTTCATGCATACCCCGCGACATAGTCTAATACTTGCATCCAAGGTTTCATGTGTTCCATGCGATCCAATCTGCGTACCTATGTCCAAGGTTTCATGCATTCCTTGTGATATAGTTTGAGTACCTACGTCCAGGGCTTCATGCGTTCCCTGCGATGTAGTTTGTGTCATAGGACCATGTTGCATTGCTCATCGGGAAGTCTTTAAGATATCTTAGGTTTTCGTTCTAAGAGTTCTTTGTCAAGTCTTGGAGTATAACTAAGGAAAAATTATTAACAAGTATGCTCTAATTCAGATGAGTCATAAACATTTCTTGACATGTATAAATCTTGCATAAGCATATTGTCACTTAGTAGTTTTCCTCTTGGTTAATATCTCAAAGTTGTCCTAATCTCCTTTTAAGATCTTTTGTACTTAACCTTAATATCATATAAGAGCCTCATATAAATTTTCGTACTATTTGAGTCTTTTAAGGTCTTGAAAACAGGTTAGAATTCTCATAGAGGTATTTTGGTCATTTACCCCTCAAATCTTGGTTCTTCGTATTCAAATGACCTTGTAACCTTGTATAATCCGTTTAAATCATGACATATGGCTCCTCATCAAATTTCATGCCATTTAGAGGTCACTTTGATCATAAGCCAGTGGTACATAATTGTAAGTGTATTTTAGTCATTTTACACATTCCCTTGATTTAGCCCCTTATCGTATCATATTGAGTAATCTCTTAAAATTTCAAAGGCAACAAAGTTCGTTTAGTAGGTTTGTGGCTCCGACGCTTCATTGAAATCAATATTCATGTGGACACTAAGGTTGGAAAACCTTCCATACATAACTTAACATTGTTTTTCTTATCTTATGCATGACATACTTGACGATAACGGGGCTTCGACGGTGGGACCATGGAACATGCCAAGTCTATCTTGTAGGTTAGTCTACAAAATCTATAACCTAGAGCTTTGGTACCCACTGTAACGGCCCAAGCCCACTGCTAGCATATATTTTCCTCTTTGGACTTTCCCTCAAAATTTTTAAAACACGTCTACTAAGGAGAGGTTTCTACACGCTGATAAAAAAATGTTTAGTTATACTCCCCAACCGATGTAGAATCTCAGGCTAAAACATGATATAATTTTAAAAGAAACAAAATCAAAAGACTTTTTTCCTATGGATATTTGTAAATTTTGTAAAATTATTCAATAATTAATCAGCCAAACTTAATTTTACCAAGATAAAAATGGTAACTGGGATGAAATAAAAAATTTATGGTTAAAGGTTGACTTTTCTATTTGCTTTTACAAGTGAAGACATTCAAACAAAACACAAAGTCCGTTTTTACCCTTAATCAATACAGTTTGGGAGGATGATATAGGGACATATTTGATATTTCACACTTCCTTCTTGATACTATGTTTTGTCCTTTTAAGTAAACTCTTCACAAAACTACAATAATTTGCGAAGGGACCCAACATGGACGTGTACAAAAAGTTTCAAACCTATTTTGTTTTAGTTCCTATCTTTTTAAATATTTAAATTCATTACCAACCTTAAATCGGATATAAACTAATTTAAGATTTATTAAAATTATGAGAATTAAATTTCGACATTTGAAACGGAAACGAGAAACTAAAAAGAATTAGCGAGTCATTTGAAGATATAATAAACTATTTTATTTCGTTTGTAATTTTTTTCATTAAACTTTCATTTCACTTCATTATTTAGATGGATTAACTACATACGTCACTGATAGCCTCTACTCGTGTCTTACCTTGTCTAAGAGTGAATGTCTCTTACCCAAAGCTTTTCTCGAATTAGTTTATGCTATTTCAAGAGTTTGTCGAGTTTGTTATGGATGGGTGTCACTAGTGTATCTCCACCTTCATTAAATTTTCGCTATTTCAAGAGTTTGTTTTATTTTTAAATGTAATTTAAAGGCAGATGTAGTAGGGGTGGCAGACAGGAGGGTACACTACTTGGTTTTGGAAGATATGGCACTCAAAATTTTAGAGCTAGTTGTGTTTCATATCGAACCATTAAAGCAGCGTGTAGGGCTATAATCGAACAATTCCATAGCGTTAGTTTTTTTTGTAGAACAAACATTCATCACATTGACAAAATGAACATCATTAAAGCAGGCAGCAAAGAAAGGAGAAATTTAGCTCCAGCTCTAACAATCCCACCCTCAGAAAACGCCTAATCTTCTGCACAATCATAGAAAAAGCAGTAAAAACATGAGCCTCAAATCAAATGTCAAAAACTAAAATTTCTTTGCACTCAACAACACATGTCATTTGCACTGATTCGGCACATGATCACGAATTTATATCCATTTCTTAGCTCAAAATCAGGAGTTACAGTAAACCCTTATGTTCAGCTTTCCAAGTTCCTCAAACGATATCAAACAAGTTTGTGAGATCCAATCATTCTTTACGAGGGTGTGGACACCTCTCCCTAGCAGTCACGTTTTAAAAACATTAAGAGGAAGACCGTAAGGGAGAGTCCAAAGAGGACAATATTTGTTAGTGGTGGGCTTGGGTCGTTACAAATAGTATTAGAGCCAGACACCGACCAATGTGCCAGCAAGGAGACTGATCCCCGAAAGGGGTTGGACACGAAGCGGTATGTCAACAAGGACGTTGGCCCCCCAAAGGGGGTGTTTTGAGAAGTCTCACATCGATAGGAGAAGGGAACAAGTGTCATTGAGGACGCTGAGCCTCGAAGGGAGTGAACGGTGAGATCTCACGTCAATTGAGAAGGAGAACAAAACATTATTTATAAGAACATGGGAACCTCTCCGGGAGGACTAAAAGGGAAATTCCAAAGAGGACAATATCTGCTAGTGGTGGACTTGGATCGTTAGGGACCCTTGTTCTTGCTTTTGTAAAGATTCAGAAAAGGGTTTTGTTGGGTTGAAGAAGAAGAAGAAGGAGCAGGACCCAGTTGGATTGGAGCTCAGGAAAGGGGTTGAATTTGGATATTACTATAAGCATTTGAGTCAGTTTTCTGAGAAATGGAAGAAACTAAACAAGAAATTCAGGAACAGAAAAGAGTGTAGAAGTTCTTGTGTGGTTAAGTAAGACAATGGTTGAATACAGAGAGCCAATAAAGATTCCAGCTTTATAGCTTATGAGACCTCATTTTCTTCCTTCGCACCTCTCACACTTATGCAGTAAATTATTGACTCTCTCCTTTTAAAGATTCCCTCTAAAAGATATAAACAACAAAAGTAAAAAACAAAGGTGAAGATATCAAGTAGGATACGTCTATATTGCTCCATATATGAATTATATCCACCATCTACACAATTCAGTTTTCCATATATGAATACGACCAAAACAGCACAATATTTGCTGTTACAAAGGGTATTAGAGCTAGACACCGAACAGTGTGTCAACGAGGACACTAAGTCTCAAAGGAGGTAGACACCGGACGATGTGCAAACAAGGGCGTTGGGCTCTAAAGGGAAGTGGATTGTGAGACCCCCACATCGATTGGAGAGGGGAACAAGTGTGGAGTCCGGAAAGGGGTGGATTGTGAGATTCCCCTCCAAGGAAACAAAATATTCCTTATAAGAGTACGTGTAAAGTTAATCAAATATCTAAATTTGTATGGAACTTTTTTCCATCCTCCTGTCATCTGTGTTCATCTAGCAAGTCATTACACATAAGAGTGGTTTAAGACAACATAGTGGCAGACTAACTTTGGAAGATGGGGCATCCTACGTAAGTATCAATCAAGGAAATAAAAAGAAACATAGCAAGAACATATTATATTAGTTTAGCAACCAAATGCATGGATCTTCATCAACCACATTCGTCCCATTAACTAAACACTTCACTTTCCATGATTCTCAAAGCAAACAGAAGAACACAACACTACATACTGCAAATAAAGATGAGACTACGATTTTTTTAACGTTTCTAAATCTTATGCCGGAGCAGATGCCGGTGTCGGTGGTGGTGCTGGTGCTGATACTGGCGGTGGTGGTGGTGGTAAAGGTGTGGATGCCATCACAGATGGTGGAACAGCTTCGGGTGATGGGGGTGGCAGCGCAGGTGGCTTGACAAGAAGAGAGGGGAAATCAAGGACAATAATCTTGTCAATGGCTGCACTGAAAGTGGGACAGAACTCAAGATGTTTAGGATGGGTAAGAAATGAAGCGATGGCTTCTTTGTCATCAAATGTCATTGAGAAGACGTGCGTGAAGCCTTGTGTCACCATGTCTTGCCCTTCAACATCATGTCCCCTGTCCAACCCAACCACATTTCACTCAAAAAAATCAACATTCATGCGCCCATAATTTTGAAAAATAACAACTATAATCTATAATCTTAAAATCTACGGTGTACGCCCACCGCTAGTAGATATTGTTCTTTTGAGTTTTCTCTTTTGAGCTTCCCCTCAAGATTTTTAAAACAAGTCTATTAGGGAGAAGTTTATCCACACTTATAAAGGGTATTTCGTTTTCCTCCTCCCAAAGAGGACAGCATCTACCAGCGGTGGGCTTGAGCTCTTACAAATGGTATCAGAGCCAAACACCGAACGATGTATTAGCGAGGAGGCTGTTCCCCAAATGGGGTAGACACGAGGCGGTGTGCCAGCAAGGATGCTGGCCCCAAAGGGAGTAGATTTAGTTGGGGTACATTGATTGGAGAAAGAACGAATGCTAGCGAGTACGCTGAGTCTTGAAGGAGATGAATTGTAAGATCCCACCTCGATTGGGGAGGAAAATGAAACATTTACTAGAGTGTGAAACATTTAAAAACTTTGAGGAGAAGCTCAACAGAAAGAGCTTAAAAAAGAAAATATCGGTTATCTAGGTCCTCAGACTTGAAAGCACATAACATCTTACTTACACAACAGAGAGATAAAGGGCATAAAAAGGGGAGAGATACCATTCAAAGGACTTGACATAGTCAATATCAGAAACCATCTTCTCCACTTGCTCAACAATCTCTTCCAAGTTCACACTCTCCTTAAACTTGGCAATGACAAGGTGCTTGAACTCGGCCATGGTAGCGTAGCAAAACCAAGCTCACTCACTCACAACACAGGTGAAATGGGGTAATTGAAGAGCAGAATTTATACAGGGGCATTTCGTCGAACAGGTGAACGTGGAGAGGGGGGAGAGACAGGTTTTTTCCCCCTGTGAGCGCTGACACACCCCCACGTTCCATAATTTCTTGGTTGGCTTTTGCAGCAATCAATCACCTAAAAATGGGAATGAATACTTACAAAAGGATTAAAGGAGAAAGGACCCACAAGTCGGCCGCTTCGGCGCTGCCCCGCACGGTTGGACCTGTCCTCCTCTCTTGCTTTTCCCCTCCTTCGGACCCTCTCCTTCTCTCTCCTCCCTACACTAAATTTTCCCTTCAATTGCAAACTAATTTAATAAAGAAAATATATTAGATAAAGTTTTCATACCATGGAACATTTTTTTTTTTTTCTAATGATAAACTAAATTATTCTCCCGCCAATCAGAGAGTGTTCAAGCCCTCAAGAAATTAGTTATCTATTTATGCTATATATATATATATAGAAAAGTTGATCCAATCTCGTGAAATTATATTTCCAACTCTCTGTCTGGTCATGTCTCCAAAATAATAGGCTTATGGAATTGACTACCGAAGTTATGTCAGTCACTCTTAATTTTTTTATACAATAGATAATGATAAAATTATTACTAAAATTAAATCATTAATTATGAGGTAGGATTTTGTTTTTGTTTTACGAACATACTAGTGATTACATCTTTTTGACTCCAAATTTTTATGCCCTAAATAAGTGATTTAAAGTTTGATCTAGAATTCATTAAATCAATTTTCTCACTTTATTTTCTTTGCAAACTCAATGCAATATTTTAGAAGTTTTGGAGCATTTGTTGGTAACAAATGGAATCAATCTAGACAGTGAATATTGGATTTACCCACAGTAAAAAAAAAAAAAGTAAAAAAAAACAGAGTAGTCTTTTTGGTTGAAAAGAAAAAGAAAAACCAAGGCAGGAAGCAACACATTACCCACACTCAATTAATTCACTCTCTTTTTACACCTTTCCTCTTTTTCCAATTTCTTTTTATTTTTTCTTTCACTTATTAAACCTCTAATCTATGCTTACTCCTAAACAACCATCAAAACCCTAAACCCTAATCCATGCATACTCCTAAACAACAATCAAAACCACATAATTTGTTTCATCAGAATCTCGAGATTCACTCTTATTCTCTCGAAATAGCTACTTGATTACCTACGACTATTTGTAACCTTAACAATGTTTCATCATCCTCTTATTCTGCTTCCTAGCTTCGGGTTTTGACTCAAATGGGTTACTTCAAATCTACATCTAAATTTGTAACCTTCACATGACTTTTACCCCTTTTTTTTTTTTTTTTTTTTTTTTTTTTTTTTTTTATATTTAATATATATATATATATATATATATATATTTTGAAAGAATCAAATGTAGTTACTTAACTAGTTGGGCGGTTTGGTGTCGGTCGAAGAACACATTTTTTGACTTTTCAGCTGATCCATTTGGACCTTTTCCTACTATTTTTTTTACCATTCAATAAGGAGTTTAGATTATTTTATGCCATTGATTAGTTAACTTTTGTAGTTCGAATTCTAAATTATGATTGTGAGGCTAGAATTAGATTTCAGAGAGCTTTATGTTCATTAAGAGAGTGTAACCGTTTTGGCTTAGGCCAACCAAGTAAATAGATTTACTTTTGACTTGGTTGGATGAGTTGTATGATGGAGGATTGATGTGTGATTTATGGTCCTACACATGTCATGTTTTATGATTGTTTGACATGTGACATGTTATGTCTATATTATGATATAAATTATATTATGATACAAGTTATGTTAGGTTATAAGTTATGTTAGGTTATAAGTTATGTTACGATGTGATTATGTTATGGTATGGAACTATGTTGTGATGTCGATGTTATATGATATATGAACCTCCATACGCGACTCCATGTAATATATGTTAACATGTCAATTCTATGTCTATGAGACATTAAAAACTAGATATATTAATCACAAAACATATGACAAGGATTATAAATGTCTCATAGGAACGATATGTTATAAAAAGAATGGATTAATGACTTGCATAGTAAGTACATGTCATAATTTAAAGCTATGAGGACCTCAAGCGCTTTATATGATACATACATTAGGATACGTCTCCGTTATGATTAGTATGAACACGTACATCACAATATCTATATATGTCATAATATTATGCGAGTTTCTTTCCCTTCGTGGCTTCGGTAGTGTGAGTGTGCGCTAGCTAAAGGGCAGGGATAAGGGGTACATATACGTTGCCTGGTGGGTCCACGTGCGTGTGTGGGCCTTGTGTAGAAAAGTACGACATATCTAACTTTTACCCAAAATTGGAAAGTAGAGTTCAAGGCCATGATGTTTTTATGAAAAAAGATAAGTCCCGCGTTGATTGCATGTGACTACATTTTCCGATCCTAAGAGTGTGGTTACTTAAGTATTCTTTAAATACTTAAGTCATGTCCTTTTCTTTTTCAGGTAAGATACCCTTGTACGAATGACGGTGTCGCTGTGCAAGTCATGTGAACAGGATAGTTACATTTTTTTATTTAAATTGTAATCCTTAGGGTAGATTAGGCATTTTCATTATTTTAAAATTATTGTTATTTCACTTTTGCTATTCTATTGATATTTACTTTGTGAACGTTTAAGTTCATGGTGGGAGTAGTCTCACATTGACTAATTAATGAGATGATTATGAGTTTTATAAGTAAAGAATATATCTCCATTTATACGAAGCCTTTTGGGGAAACGAAAAGCAAAGTCATGAGAGGTTATACTCAGGACAATATTATACCATTGTGAAGGTTCTAACTTGGCGACTTTCTAAAAAAAATTCTAAATAATGAGAAGTAAATAATATGAGCATGCCACTAGAGATATAAGAGACTGTTCGGACACCAATGTGCTAGATATGAGAATGGGGCATTACAAAGATATGCTACAAGTAAATTGGTTTACAAAATGAAAATTTCTCTACCGATGACATTGTCCATGTGAAAAAGTGAAATAGTTAAAAAAAAGAAAAAGAAAATAGGGTCCACGATTTTAAATTATCGAGTCTAAGTCGAATTTGACCCATTCTTCAATTCATTAGGTATAGTACGCAATCTCCAAAAAAAGATAGCTTTGATTTGACATATTTCAACAATTAGCTTTAGTTTAATGCACACAACTTTGATTCATCGTAGTTTAAGATCGATTCAGAGTTAATCTAACTAGTTTAGACTAGTTTAGGACATTTTGGTTCGATTTACGGCCTATTTAAGAGCTTTAGTCTTATTCAAGACCTTCTAGGTTAGTTTATTTTCAATTTTAGCCGGTTCAAGAGTTTTTCTTACTTAATGGATTTGGTGTTAAAGATTACTCAAGTGTTTTAGCATAATAAAGGAGTTTTAAGATCAAATCTCGTATGCTTTGAAGGTCGTTGGTCGGATGAATTGCTTAATGTATAAATAACATGTATCATGATCTTTTAAAAACATGAGTTATTATAATAAACTAGTTAGTGATGTATGCATTCTTGGATTTGATTAGTCATGATTATGTATGATATTTTATGTTTTATGTATGTGCTACTCCAAAATAGAGAATACACATACATATATGATCATGTATGGATATAGTTGATAGTCTCACGAGATATTAGCATTGTGCAGACACGTACATTTATGATAAAATGCATTACTTTCCTTTCTATCAGTTTCAGCTGCATGAGCGTGCACAAGTCCAGAGTTAGATCTAGAGAGTACAATAATGATACTCTCCTAATGGGTTTATATACACATCTAATGAGTGTCTTAATAAATGATTACTCGCATACCTTAACATTCATCATAAACCTAAAACCACTTATTCTTTCTTTGTTTTTTTGGTACAAGAAAATACTCCGAAGACACATCTATTCATGGATCGGCATTGGAGAATGATCGTCAAACAATAAATGATATAAAAGCATGAACAAGACAAAGAGGTCTATTGGCAAGAAGGTGAATAGGGTCCGAAACATAAAAAAGAAGAAAAAGAACAAACACATCCTATTCATCCACACTTCACTTTCTCTACAGAATTTTATCCTTTCCAAACAAGAAGAGAATAAAAAAAAAGAAGCTTGGAATAAAAGGCCTGAAACCATTCTTTGAACTACACCAATTGAGTAAATAAAAAAGTAGAGATTCTATGCCAACAAGAAAATGTAAAATCACTCACTGTTAACAAAAGAGTGATCAACAAGTGGCTCACAGTCATACAATAGAAAGGGCCTGAAAAAGGGAGCGAAGACAGGCCTCATATTTAGATGAAGCTTATGCACTTTAACTGAGCTTAGATTACATGTGGTTGAATCTAAAGGGTTAATACAATGTCAAAAGACTAAGCATATTCTACTTTGTAATACCAAAATTGCAGGCCATTAGAGTTACTCTTGAGGTAGTTTCTGTTGCAGGAAAGACGACCCTTCACGCTTCTTAAGCCGATACATTCGCTTTCGATGCGATCGACCTAGATTGTGTTGTTCCCATTCATGTGCTCCTCTTAGTACTCTGTTCCCACAAGCCTATACAAAAAGAATTACTTCCAGGAATATGTTTTATAGTTGGTTACCATTTTTTTTTATAATTATTATTATGTATTCGAGTACTTTCAATAATATTTATGTAACAATATAAAAAAAATGGATGATTATGCATTCAATTATGTCACTCAATAGTTTGTGATACTCAAAATGTGATGTCCCACGTCAGAACGAAACACCCTTTTTAAGCGGTGGAAACCTCTCCTTAGCAAACGCGTTTTAAAGCCTTGAGAGGAAGCCCGGAAGAGAGAGTTCAAAGAGGATAATATTTGCTAGCGGTGGGCTTGGGCCGTTACACAAAATATGCACAGAAAATACGTAAAGCAACAGAATATGGCTCCTTTTTCCAGTTTTCTACTATTATATTCACTTAAAACTTTTGACAGAAAAATCAAATGAACTATTTTGTAGCAGAAAATTATCTTCAATTTTCAAAAGCAAAAGAAAATTATTTTGAAACACACCCAATAAATAAATTACCTGGCAAACATATTGTGTCCACAAGTCCTTTTTGATTGTTTGCCCAGAACTCTGTGGGTTCATTGTCTCAGTCGCTGAACAACAATCTTCAAGGAACGACCTAATTATCTGGACTGCAGGTTCAACGACTTGTGCAGTCCATGAATCCTCCACTTTGCCTAGCATTTGAAACAGCAGAAGTTCCAAGATAATGGGTTCAGGCAAGATTGCTTATAAAATAAATAATTGATCAAATAAAGAGATTAAGATTATCACAGAAGTCCCACTTGTTATATATTCCGTGGAATCAACATAGTGGATCTTCCATCCAAACAAAGTTTCCAGTCTCTTTATCTGCCTCCGCTGAAACCAATAAAACATTTATTACAGAAAGCATTCAATGAAAACGTATTATGTACTGTTTTCATAAATGTACTTGTACGTAGTTAATAATTCAAATTTAGGCCAAATATATAACTCAGTCCCTTTGTTTCTTTTAGGAGGAAAGCAAGGGATTTCATTTATAAATGGAATGTACAGAAGGGGAATAAAAAAGCTCCCGCCGCCATTAGAGGACTAGAAAAAGGATCTCCAACAGAGATTAAAGTAGAAAACCTAGGCATTGTAAAGGTGTAAATATTTCCACCAATAAAGAACATGAAACAAAACCAAATCCATAAAACACTCAAAAGAAGATTGTTTCATTAAGGATTTCCAGAATTTTAAAACGAGAAGCAGATTCGACTTCAATGATGCCAAAGATTCCAAAAGAAGGATCTGTTGAAAGCAAGCCAGAGTATTCCTTCCTTCTTTACAAGGATATCGCACAAACATTAAAGCAAAGAGATCATGGATATTTTCAGGCATGACGATGCTCCAGCCAAAGGTTACAACATATGGATCCACTACTTTCTAGCAAAGGACGAAAGCTAAATCGATGCGATTGAGATTCTGCATTTTCTTAGCAAATCAGGAGCTACATAGATACCATTGTGATTCTACAACTTCCTTACACATAACACATCATGAAGGGAAAAAATAAATTTAGGCATTCTCCTTTGAAGTCATAGGAAAGATTTTATTTTATTTCGGTAGGAGCCTTTCCAAATGACGGTAAGTTATTTCAGATTCGTACCTAATATTTTCTTTTTACTACTGAGAAACAGAAACAAATTTCTTATTGATTTAGTAAAAAGACAAATAATTTCAAAAGTAATCCTCATCATACAATAACACACTACAACAAAATCCTCCCTTAGCACAACCCCAGATTAAAAACATAAAAAAAAAACCCCTTAACAATGAGAAATTGGTACAGAGAGATTAAAACTCTCTTTCTAAAGAAATCAAAATCCAAAGAGAAAATTTGACATATTAGGAACTGTGAGACTTGAAACCCTTCCCTAGACCCGGAAGAGTAGGGGAGGATTTTCATCTCCATATTAATTAATATCAGTTTGGTTCCTAACACACTCATATAACTCTTTCCCTCGAAAATCAGTTAAAGGAGAGAAGTGCTATATCCATTAGAAGAGAACATCAGTATTTCTTTTCTATGTATTACCAACGCCAATACCCATTAATAAGGGGAAGGGAGACCAGCTTCCAATTAACTTCATGCAACCACCATCTACCATCTAGCTAGATAGTTAGGCTCCACTGAGTCGCGGTCGTATACTTTCAACCGTGTGGCGTCCTAATCTCGACGCGTTCATGACAAGCCTTAAGGAGAACCTAAGCCCCATAAACATTTTTCGTCCGTCTTTGTGGTTTCGTCAGACTTTAGGCGAGGTTTATCTTCGCCAACCGAACACAACTCATGCGAAATCTAAGCTTGTTCGGCAACACACGTTGTCTGTGCATGCATGTTCAATCGTCTGCCCCTTAACTGACTTACCTCTACACTAGGTCAAGTCATCTGGCTCAAGAGGCAAAGGTTTCTCGTATGCAACGTCGCAACTCATCTTGGTTCCCAATTAACACGGCCATTGAAGTTCACTCGGTCATGCCCATCAAGAACGGACCCATGTTTCACTCATATCATCTAGAAATCCTGAACATCTATCCATCTGGGTTATGTCGAGGCATTGAACCCTTTCATGTCCATGTAATATCATTTACGGATTCCGTATCGAATAGCCGGTGTAATATACTCGTTGGCACGCCCCATTGTTTAACCACATTCTTGAAAAATAGTTGGGCAGTCATCTTGGTAGAACAAGACCTAGTGGTCGGAATGAATGTGACGTACTTCAAAAACCAGTCAACACTCACTAGAGTTGACTTGAACTCTCCCACTTTAGGGAGATGGGTGATGAAGTCGAGAGATACACTCTCCCACGATCGAGATGAGACTGGTAGGGGTGTCAATAGTCCTGCAATTTTTGTTTGCTCGACTTTAACATGTTGATAGAAAATACAAGTTTTCATGAATTGCATAACATTATCTCAAAAGTTTAGCCAGTAGTATCCCCTCTTAAGCAGGGCGTAGGTTTGCCATCATCTGTTATGACCTGTCAACGGAATGACATTCCTTCATTAGCATTCTCTTCAGGTTCTCTGAGTGGGGACATACAATCGGTTGCCTTTAGTGAGGAGTAAGTCATTCTCAACCAAAAACTGGCTGGTTTTTCCCTCTCTGGATAACTGCATTATGGCGTTGGTGGCTGTGTCTTTGTGCAAGTGTTCTTTGATGTCATCTTGCACCGTCTTGCATAAATTACTAGCCTGTAAGTGGGAAACATGTACAGGGCTGCAAGTTCACTTTTCGGCTTAGAGTGTTTGCGACTTGGTTAGCTCTCCCAAGCTTGTCTTCAGCTAAAAATCAAATTTTACTACTCTTGCCAACAAGACTAATTAAAGGACAAGTTGGGCTGGTTGAAGAAGTGGCATATCGAATTATTATCGATTTGGACTACAAATTTAGCCACAATGAGGTAGTCTCCTAGCCCGCAAATAGTGAACCACCACCAGCATCTCTTTCTCAGAGGTGGCATACCTCCTCTCTACCTCATTCAGCTTCCTGCTCTCATATGCTATGGGGTGCCCGTCTTGCAAAAGGACGTCCCCAAGGCGGAGTCTGAAGCATTTGTCTTGACTTCAAAGGGCAGTGTTACATTGGTGATTCTTAGCACCGACCCTTTCCATCATGTCTTTATCCAGATCTTAAAAGACTGCTCAACATTTAGGAGTCCAACATAAAGCAATATATCCCCACTTATTTATATAACCTCAGTTGAACTTTTTCCAATAAAGGAGTTCAAAATGAAATATAATTAGGCTTGCCTCCAAAGGCATATCTACATAGGCTAGAAGCTCATACGACCCCCATTCCAACCAACTGTGAAAAAATTCAAATCTGAACATGATAAGAATCACGGTGTTCCAAATGGATCTATTACAAAATTGGATCGGCTTGGTTCAACCATCATTTCTAGAATTAGAAGTTGATATGATTGACGAAGGACAATTAAATATTTGTACAGTGAAACCCAATAGATTTCAAGTTTGTCTCCTTAGCCACTCAAACATATGAACATTTGTTGGAAGATTTTATTGATTTTTCATTTTCATTTTGTAATGGTTTGTCTCCTTAGCCACTCAAACATATGAACATTTGTTGGAAGATTTTATTGATTTTTCATTTTCATTTTGTAATGGTTTGTCTCATTAGCCACTCAAACATATGAACATTTGTTGGAAGATTTTATTGATTTTTCGTTTTCATTTTGCAATGGTTTGTCTCCTTAGCCACTCAAACATATGAACATTTGTTGGAAGATTTTATTGATTTTTCGTTTTCATTTTGCAATGGTCAAATGGTCAAAAATTGATTTCGTCTTTTGTGGAGATTAAAGGGGATCGAAATTGAATCCCGGCCACAAACGTCTTTTGTCGGGAGACTATAAATACCCACAATATGTTAGATAAAAATCAGATTGGTGAATGAATGAATTTGAGATCTTGAATTGAGACGTTTTACTTAGAAATTCGAGCATCAACTTTGCCATTTCTAAGTTTCAAGCAATTCTTGTGGTAGAATTGCATCCGAGTCATTCAATCAAGTCTTGATCAAGTTAGATTGTGGAGTGACTCAATTTAAAACAAGGTTCCAAATCTTGCTTCTAGATCTTCGATCGTGAGAGATACGTATTAATTATTTGATTAAAGGGTTCTTGCTCAAACAAAAGCTTGGTCGTTTGGCTGAGGATTAGGATTGCCTTATCAATTTGGTATCAAAGTAGGTTTACATCTTTGTAGCCGACTCTAGAATTGATTTTATCTTTCATTTCTGCTATTGTTTATCTTTTTCTTTAAATCTATCCATTTATTTTCTTGTTGTCATTTCCGCCATTATTCATCAACTTTTCACTTTGTTATCATTTTCTTCTTAAAGATCATGTTTAGATCTTGAAAAAAAAAAAAAAAATCTTCTCATATTTGTTCTTACGATTGTGATTATAAATGATCTTTATCATTTTTTTTAGATCATTTGCATGTTTATTTGAAGATCAAATAAACTTCAGTTCACATCTTTTTCTTAATCCATCTAAATCTAGAACCGTTGTGTTTGATATTTTTTTTTTCTCATAATCTACGCTTGAAGATAACTTCTAAATTTCTCGAATTCTGTAAAAAGGAGAGTTAGATCGTTCTTAAAATCTTCACGTCCTTTCTTTTTGGTAATTGAAGTTTATTTGATCTTCAAATAAACATGCAAATGATCTAAAAAAAAATGATAAAGATCATTTATAATCACAATCGTAAGAATAAATATGATAAGATTTTTTTTTTTTTCAAGATCTAAACGTGATCTTTAGGAAGAAAATGATAACAAAGTAAAAAGTTGATGAATAGTGGCGGAAATGACAGCAAGAAAATAAATGAACATATTTAAAGAAAAGATAAACAATAGCAGAAATGAAAGATAAAATCAATTCTAGAGTCGGCCATGTAAACCTAATCTTTAATACCAAATTGATAAGGAACCCTAATCCTCAGCCCAACGATCCAAGCTTTTGTTTTAGCAAGAACCTTGAATCAAAGTAATTAACACCTCCTCATACGAAATTTGGATAAACCAAGAGATAAGGCTAGAATTAGATTACCTCTTATGATTGACGATCTAGAAGCAAGATTTGGAACCTTGTTCTAAATTTAATCACTCCACAATCTAACTTGATCAAGGCTTGATTGAATGGCTCGGACGCAATTTTACCACAAGAATTGCTTGAAACTTAGAAATGGCAAAATTGATGCTCGGATTTCTAAGGAAAACGTCTCAATTTCATTCATTCACAAATCTGATTTTTACATAACATATTGTGGGTATTTATAGTCTCCCGACAAAAGACGTTTGTGGCCGGGATTCAATCCCGATCCCCTTTAATCTCCACAACAGACCAATTTTGACCATTTGACCATTGCAAAATGAAAACGAAAAAACAATAAAATCTTCCAACAAACGTTGATATGTTTGAGTGGCTAAGGAGGCAAACTTGAAATCTATTCGACTTCACTCTCGTGTAGTTTCAAACCCTATTGTTGACATTTTAAAGTTTTTGAACTTCAACCGTGCAAATATTAAATTGTCCTTCGTCAATCGTATTAGCTTCTAATTCTAGAAATGATGGTTGAATCGAGTCGATCCAATTTTGTAGATGAAGAATAAATGTTTGTTGAATCTTCTTCGCCTTGGATCATGTAATAGGTCTAGTTGGAACATTGGGAACACTGTGATTCTTATCCTTGAGGGGACTACTTGGATCATGTAATAGGTCCAATTGGAACATTGGGAACACCGTGATTCTTATCCTTGAGGGGACTACTTGGATCATGTAATAGGTCCAATTGGAACATTGGGAGCACCGTGATTCTTATCCTTGAGGGGACTCCTTGTGGTGGGTTGAAAGGCTTTAATAAAAACCTTTGAACTACTATTGCTTCGGGTCTTGTGGCATGCTTGTTGTTTTGCTGTTCTATGGGGAGTTTGGCTTGAGAGGAATAGTAGGGTTTTTAGAGAGGTACAGGGATACTTGAAGGAGTTATGGGAGGTGGTGAGAATTAATGTCTCTTTATGGTCGTTCATTAATCGATCTTTTATAATTATGAGCTTGGTTGTATTCTTTTGGATTGGAGTCCCTTCCATTAGTTGAGGCATCCTTTTGTGGACTTATTCTTTGTATGCCCTTTTATATTGTTTCATTTCTCTCAACGAAAGCTTGGTTTCTTCGATGTTTGAACCCACAATAAAAGACTTTAAAGAGCGATGTTTAACCCCATAAGAATCTCAAAATGCCCAACTAAGTTGTATAAATTTTTCACTTTCCCTCATCCAAGGTAGAAAACAAGAGTGTCATTTGTAAACTAAAGGTAGAATATATAGATCTCATCATTGCCCATAAAAAGCCTTCAATTAAACCATCTCTCCTATTTTCTCCAAAAGACAACTAAGACAATCACCCAACAAAACAAGAATAAAAGAAAACAAATCATCCCCATTGGCTTTACTACTTGGTCTATCACTAATGATGACTGAGAAAGTTGGGCTGGGTTATGGACGCATCCCTAAATCATGAACTCCATTTGTCCACCAACTGTTCTGCAAACCTTTAACTTCCAGAATCTTAATGAGAACTCCCAATTTAACTTTGTCATAGGGCTTCTCCCTATAGAGGTTTAAGAACACCCTTATTCTTTTCTTGCACCTCCGCTAGTATACTGCTTCATTCGGCACCAAAATCAGGTTAACAATTAATCTGGTAGTAATGAAGGTGGATTGTAAAGTAAAATAATACCAAGAAAGGCTCTCTTCATCCTTGCCACAAGGCCTCAGCTAGAATTTAACAAATACACGTACCTATACTTTCAGCAAAGGCATCCGTTTCTTAAAAAACTACTTTAAAAAAAAGAAAACAGAAGAAATTGGCAACTCAAAAGTACTTGGTTAAAAAAAAAAAACAGGATATAAGAAACAAATTGATTATGAAACAGGCCGTAAATCAGGATTCCTACCTGATCTTTTATTGATATTTATATTTGAAAAACATGTTTACTTCTCCGACAAAATCACATAGAGAAAGAAAGAAGGTTAACAGATAGAAATTCGCACCTGACGACGAACCAGTCTTCTAGTATTTAACTTTACATTATCTATGGCTTCTTTCAGTAGCAAACTGGATTCGCCAGCACTTGTTGAATTTAGGATGGACCTCATATTCTCTTTCAAAATCTCAGTACACTCCATTGAATTTTTTGGACTAAGCTCATTGCTATCTTCGTCGCATCTTCCGTTAGGTACATAATACCTCAAAAACTCTTCAAACTCCCGAACACCAATAGCTTGCCACAATCCTCTAGTATAGTTCGCATTTGGATTGTAAATTTCATAGACCTCATCAAGTAATCCAGCAGCCAACATGCTATCAACTCTAGAATCAACATGTCCATCAATTTGTGGAATAGAAGCATCGACACATATCAAGCAGCAATCGTATCTGAAACTATCAGCTTGACCCCAACTCTGCCCTGACACATGCAATATTACACGATGTACAAGAGATATGGGTGTGGTATCATTTAAGGACTTCAGCAGGCAAGGGAATAAATAATCTAAAAAAAATGAAACTTATTTAAAAGTGTCCAAGCATCGAGGAAGAATTAAGAGGAGGGTACAAACACACGCACACATTACCATAGTCACATAGCTAAATTAAAAGAAGATACATACCTCAGCAGCCTTCCCTTGAAAAAGTGTGCTGGGAAGAACACCAGTGCGGTAATACAAACTCAGGTATTGATTTATCTGCAACATATTCAATGTCAATAGCGAAAACATGAAAGTTGGGTAGGATATTCAATTAATTTATGCAAGATTAAGTAGTGGAACATATGACGGTACTGTCAAGGGCCTCTGTGTCATCCCACAGACTGGTGGGAATCATAGATGCATTTCAATGCAGAAGCATAAGCAACAACATAGTGAATAGTATTGGGCACTGACCCTTTGAAGAAAAAGAAAAAAAACTAATAAACAATGTAGAATCTCCCCATAATCTAGTTTAGCTTTAAGGTTATTGTACTTAAGATCCTTTAACTTTGCCTCAATTTCAATCTAGTTACTTAACTTGAGAACAATTCACTGCACTCCAAAACGGTCATAAAATATTGAACAGATATAATAGTCAAGAAGCCTAAGGTCAAAGACTAACCCCAAAAATACAGGTTGAATTAGCACTTTTTTTTTAAAACATAAACAAAAAGAAGAATGAATTCAAAGAAGTCCAAAGTTTAGCACCTATTAACAAAAAGGAAAAACTTAACTACAAAAAGGGTAAGCAAAAGGAATAAGTATAAGGTGTCCAGTGCCTCTTAAATGAAAAATGTGAGCATATAATCCTCTGCAATGATCTAGGATACATTAGAGAAAATATAAGATGAACATCCAGACACTTAAGAAACCACTTAGATCATACAAAAGAGAAGGCATTTAAAACTTCATGCAAAACTTTGCTCTCAACCTGATGTGATCATGGCCTCAATCAAGCCCAAAGAGACCCAATTAAACTAGGAACAGTCCAAGATGATATAGAGAAGGAGATCCAAGGAGCAAGCAAACCCATAGCCCATTGACCAAAGGTCATATGCGGCGCCCATTCGCCCATCCAGCTCAATGACACCCCTCCATGGGCATGCACACAAGGCCCATGCCCCAACTCATCGTCGTGCACACACAACTCATGCCCCAACCTACTGATGTGCATGCCCATTCAAAAACTAATGGTGTGTGCATCAGCCAGCAGCACCTGCTACGTCCATCTCACCCATGCATGTCTGCCCACTTGCTCCAGCCTATCTATGCAAGGCCATCTACTAACATGCACCCACCTTCTCTAGACTGTCCGCACAAGACCATCCATCGGCCCGTGGCATGCCAATGCTCGCCCGTGTGCTCTAGTCCATCTGCATGCGCATGTTTGCCTACGATGGCCCATCAGTGTGCAGCCACCCACCCGTCAAGCCACTAACCCATACACACGGCACCCTCCCAAGCACGCCCTTGTTGCACCTAGCTCCAGCCTATTGTGCACTTGCCTTGCCCGCCCGCATGCTGCCACCTATCATGAGAACTGCTAGAAGAATTTTGTCAAAGTTTATTTTAAGAACATTCATGATCTTTAAGAGAATTGATAGGATAGATTATTGATTGGTTGACTTTTTAACATTTGTTAAGCATTTTCCCCTTTTTAAATAGGATTTTAGAATAACTTAGGTAGCTGAATCTAAGAAGATTTATCAATTAGATTCACTCCTTTGGATATATAAACCCAAGGAGAGCTCCTATTTTAGATATACTTGAATGAATGAAAAGAATTCTCTTTTAGAACTGCTGAGAACATTTCTTACATTTCTTTGCAACCCTTGTGTTAAGGTTGCATGTCTTAAAGCATTTAAGCTTGGTTGGTCAGCAATCTTGAGAAGTGCTTCAACCTTGAGATAAGGACGGGTTCTCTTTCAGTAGAAGATCCTCCAAGTGTGTGGATGGGACACATAGCAGGCACTGTTGGGCTGGATACGTGCGTCCTCGCCAATGGGCTGGTGAGCGAGCTGCATGTCCACATTGATGAGTTGGGGCATGGACCTTGTGTGCATGTTTTGATGGCTTGGCACAGATGGAGGGGCTCCATAGGCACCGCACATGGCCTTTGATCAACGGGCCATGGTCAAATGGGAGGGCTAGCTCCTTGGATCTATTTCTCAACTGCATCTTAGAATCTTCCTGGTTTAATTGGATCTCCTTGAGCTTGATTGAAGCCATGATGACATCACAACAACTCGTGTTTAGAAAGGATTTGCATTATTCTACAACTTGGTTGCTATGATTCAACATAATTCCCTAAAGAACTATAAACTAGAATAACATTGTAATTCAAAGCAATCGTTCAAATTTAAAAAAGTGATGACTTAACTTGTTCTCATATTCATAAGAACAATTGCACATAATGTAAGCAGGGCAGCCTTACTTTTCGGTGGTTATTCGGATGGAGTCTACCAGCCGAAACTGGATCAATCTCTTTAAGATAGCTATGGTCATACTTCAAACTATCTCTTCCCTCATCCAACTCAATATCCATCTCCTCATCTCCTGGAAAAACATGAATAAAAACATAATTTAAACCCCAGATTCAGATGAAATACTATTAAAGCTGTAGAGTTAATAATTACCAAGATAACTGGAGCAACTTCCGCCGATATTTTTAGCAGAATCATCCAGAAGAAGTGGGCTAAAAAGAGCCTGCATGAGAAATAGAAAAGGAACATGAAGTCTGACATCTTCCTAATGAAGATACATTTCACAGGAGTAATTTGCTAATTATGATAATTTAGAGTTTCTTTGGATGTATTCTTTGAAATTAAATTCAAATATTGTTTTATACATCAGTATTTTAATATACTTTCTTTGTTTTTACTTTTTTTTTTTTTATATCTGTTGTTCTTTTGCAAAATAATCTGAAAACTTAGGGTCATTTGATAACCCTTTGGTTTTCTATTCTTGAAAGAGTGGTACGTCATGTCCAATAGATCATTTACCTCCCTAGGAAATGTGAGATGTCATCCAAATATATTGAGAATCGTTGTCCAAAAATTCTGAGCGTACGTGCATTGCATAAATAAGCGGCTTTGTGATTCATTTTTTTCTTGTATAATAGAGACACCAAGTTGGAGTATAACATGATGACCATGTTGACAACCTTCTTTCTATTTCTTCAATAATATTCTTCGAGAAGAAAAAAGATTTGTGGTTTCCTTTTAGAGGTAGTCCTAGGTAGATATTCAGTCATATTCCTTTTTTACAACCATATATGCTATCAAATTCTTTAATATCTCTGTGTGAATATTGATGCTTATGATCTCTATTTTATGTAGATCGATATTTTGTCCAAAGAATCTTTCAAAAGTTTTTACTGTCTCGATCATGTTTTTTATGAAGAGGCATCTATCAAGTAAGAAAAGAGGATTGTGTCGTCTGCAAACTGAAGATAGTTGATGCTTAAGCTTTCATTACCAATTTGAAAACTTTTTATCTCCCCTTACTGAGGCAGTCCGTTACCATGATGAAAAGAAAGGAGGTAGTGGATCTCCTTGTCAAAGACTCCGTGTGGCATAAATCTTCCCTCTCGGTCTTCCATTGATGATGGAGAAGTTTGTGGATGAGATGCATCCTTTTATCCACTTTCGCCATTTTGAGCCAAAGCCTTTTGCCACAAGAATGTTTTCGAGGAAAGTCCAATCAACCTTGTCGAAGGCCTTTTCCATGTCAAGTTTGATGACTACACCTTTTTGTCTCTTTCTTTCCCATTCATCTATGAGTTTGTTTTCCATGAGGGATGCATCGAGAATTTGTTGCCTTTCTACAAAAGTTGTTTGTTGCCCATTTATTGTGAAGGGGAGAACCTTTTTAAGATGTTTAGACAATACCTTCACTATGATTTTACATAGTCCGATCGTGAGACTTATGGGGTGAACGTCTGCAACAGTGTAGTGTAGGCATCCAGTTTCTTTGAGATCAGACATATGTATGTTTCGTTTAGGTTGCCATTGATAACTTTGTTTAAAAAAAAAAAAAAAAATTGGAATACTCTCATGATATCAGCTCTCAAAAAGTTCCACCATTTTTAAAAAAAATTTGAGGTAAAATCATCTGGTCCTGGAGTTTTGTCGGAGCCCAGATGCTAAATCACCTTCCCTACCTCTTCTCCGGTGAAAACAACCTCGAGGGAGGCAGCTTGCTGTTGATCAAGAGGACTCCAGTCAAGATCTCCCGTCAAGATCATGGGGGCATTGTCCTTTGTATATAAGAATGTGTAAAAGGACACAAATTCTGAGACAATTTCTTCTTCGTTTACTGAACTTCTGCCTTGTGTGAATAGAATTTCCATGATGGTACTCTTCCGTTTCTTTGTAGCCATGATACGATGGAAAAATTTCGAATTTATGTCACCCTCCTCTAACCATCGTTTTTTACATTTTTGCCTCCAATATTGTTCTTTCTTTGGCTGCCAACGACATAAGTTCTGCTTTCGTGAGATTTTTCTGTGTGTGTTGAACTAGTGTGATAGAGTCAATTTCCTCCCTCTAATCGAGGAGAGCAATTTCAATTAGTAGTTGGTTTCTTTTTGTGGGAATACAACCGAAAACCTCATTGTTCCATTTCTTTAAGACTTCTTTTAGTCTTTAAAGTTTGTTGATGAAACTGTGCCCCGGTCATCCACGAAGGGGCGTATTCTTCCACTCGTATTCCCCCCATTGGCAAAATTTCAAAATGGTTCAGCCACATATTCTCAAATCGGGAGGGAGAGGGGACCCATTTACAGCAACCCATAGAAAGTAGAATGGGATAATGATCAAATGTAGGTCTATTCAATCTTTGAACACCTACGTTACTAAATTTTTCAAGTAGGCCTTCTATGGCTAGAAATCTATCAATGAGTGTCAAGGTGGGTGGAGGTATGTTGTTTGACCATGGATAGAGTCCATTACTCAAAAAAGGTCAATGAGTTCAGCTTCTCTAATGAAATTGTTGAAGTGCTCATGCCTCTGGGGACTTTTTCACTTGATTTTTCATGTGCCCATCAAGAGATATTGAAATCACCAGCCAAAAGAGGCAAGATAGGTCCTGTAATTGCTGCTAGAATAGATGTCTTTCTTAATATCTATCAAGACCATAGATTCCTGTAATCCAAAATTTGTAATTATCAGCCCGTGTAATATGTGTGGTTAAGGTGTATAAGCCTTTGGTGACTTCTGAAATGACCAAATTTGGGTCATTCTACATGATTAATGTTCCGGGCCCAAGTCTGCGATCGAGTTATGGGTCTTTTGTAAGTGGAGGTAGACGGTGTTTGTGTAGGGGAAGAAGTACAATTCTTCTTTCAACCTATTTTGAATAGTTGTAAGGCTCAAATAGAGGGAACCTTAATACCTCTGAGTTAAAGTACTCGAGACTAAATTAGAAATTTGTAGGTACAATCTTCATTGATGTTTATGACTATTTATACAAGTTGTATAACAACCATTGCTACATCAGTGGAACCATGACCCATCATGGAGGATCATCCTCCTAAAACAAAGGAAACTGAAAATAGAAATGAAAGTGGAATCCTTACGACCATTGCTACATCAGTGGACCATGACTCGATCATGGAGGATCATCCTCGTTACACAAGGGTAGTAACTAAAATGAAGGTGGACCCCAAAAACTGAAAAAGAAAAAAAAAAAAAAAAAAAAAAAAA